GGGGACCCCGAGATCACGGTCACCGATAGTTAGAGACACTGAGCGATATGGCTGGGTGTCGCAAACAGCTGGGGTATGTATTCCTGAACTTATTATGGTCCATCAAGCTGACCTATCCTCTAGAAGCGGAAAGACATGTTAGAGTAAACTTGTGCAATGCATCGCCTCATAACAACCGGTTAAGAAAACATACAACCATTCAACTGGAGGACATAACGGGAAAAAAGTAAAAAATGGACGTACCATCGTTGTTCGGAAGTTTTCATCACACATGGATTGTTCTTCCGGAACAGCTGTGGATGGAGCATTGAGAAGGACAGACCCATTGGTCAACAAAGGAATCACATCACGATACGCAACTGAGTGTACCTGTGACACAAGATTAGAGAGTGTGTGTGAGTGGAGTTTGGTTTCGGCAACTGGACAATGGGAACAAATCGCATAAAAACCATCCTCGGGATCAAAACCGCCTCACAGAACCCTCCCCCCCCTCTCTTCCTCGATTTGCATACCTGTGCTTCATAGGCATCGGCCGCGACTGGATTCATCTCCGGACGGGGAGGTGCCGATCCATGAAAGAATTGTATGACTGAGCCACCGAATTCTGCCGGACCTAACCGCTCCAACACAGCGCCAAGAATCAGGCCCGCACATGTTTCGGCCAAAAGAACTGTGGAGCCCGCATGCACATTTGCATAGGTCAAAATGTGACAAAGAGTATCGAAACGCAGTCCTCTGAGAATGACCATTCGTTGAGATTGGTGGTGCACAGCGAATCAAAGTTGAGAGCGGATAGAGTGAGGAAGAGAAAAAAACAGAGTGATCAGTATCAAATCTGGATAAAGATTATTTTTAGAGTTGCATCAACACTCACCTGGCAACCGAAGGCAGCTAATTGTTTTTTATAAAATTGTTAATGGCATGCATCGACGGTTCTTGACAAACGGAAATGAAAAAAGATACACTGTCGGAGTTTGAACACCACTGTCTACGCAGCAGCGTACGAATTTGGTGGGGCAGCCGGACAGGCAATGAGGTTAGGCGCAGAGTTTCGGGCATCCGCAGTCTTCAACTGGAGCAAGTGGTCGACTTCCATAGATTACGTTGGTTGGGGCATGTGTTACGTATGTCACCAAATAGACTGCCGTTTGCCGAGGCAGGTAGAGGGGGGAAGCCAAGGGTGGTTAACCTAAGACCTGGAATGAGGGTATGAAAACCCTAACCAGGGGACTGGGTTACACAGGTCCCGGTTGGCTCCCTGGCCGGGAACCTCCGGATGATCGTAACCGATGGTCAGAGAAAGTGGGTGTTATGGCTGAGGGTCGTAAACACTGGCTTTTGTGTATCTTTTCAATTTCTTTGTAGCCTTAGACCACTGAAATTCTACATTTTTTGTTCGACTCTACTTTCAAATTTTTTTTCTTCTACTGTTCATTCAAATAGACAGCAACCAAAACCGGCGCACGAAGGTGCACGGTGAATGGTTGTACTAACTGAAACTGGAACTGAAGTCAAAGAACTAGGCAGCTTAAATATGGCAGCTAACATAACGGTATTCTGTTACAGTTTAGACAAAGAACACATAGTTTTCTTGTGTTTTGATCATACTGTTCCAAAAGACTCGACTAGATTAGATTGGACATGCATCGCGCATGTTACCAAAATCTCGTTTGCGGTAGGCTTCTGCCACATAAAGAGCTCAGGGAAGAATTCCATGAGTTCAGTACATAACCGAAATGACAGCATTCTGCACTATTTGCTCGATTCTCGGAGAGTAGAGCTGTATGCTACCGAGCGCGTCCCCAGGTAGCGGATAGGGGAACGGCCGTCATCTCA